GGTGCACGTAAAAATCTATTCATATATGAATCATGATTCTGTCTTCTAACGATTCTAATGGATTCACAAGTTTCAAAATGTTCTAAAGCAGCGTTCTCATCCTGTTCCTGGCCTCGCCCTGCTCTGCACACGCTCTGCATCTCTCTCTCTCTCTCTCTCTCTCTCTCTCATTCAGATCATCAGCTCAGTGAATACACTTGTTTTCACATACTATAGCTATGAGAAGCGTTATACATGGACGCGTGTGTGCGGTTGCCGAACTGTATTAACGCTATAATCAGAATAAAACCGTATATTAAAAGCTAACAGAAGCAGTAGCATTTACAAATAACAGCGTATCTAAAAGTATGAGACAACAACAAACAAAAATCTTAGGCCTACCATTAAAAGCAGGAAATGATCAGCGCTTTCAGAGGAGAAGGGACAGAGAGGTGTGGAATAAAGGTAAATTATGTGGAAAATAATGTGTTTTTTAACAAACGAAGCATTAACACATGTTAGACTGCACCCTATAAACACAATCAAGCCTAGAAAAAAACCAGTCAACCACCCCTTTAAGAAGCACTCTTTTACTTTACTTTAGCATGAAAACCTTCCATCCTTCGCGCTCCTGCTGACGCGGTGAGTATAAACCAGGCTCTACACTCGAAGCGCTGCGCAGTTCAAATGAGTAGCACGGTTTCTTTATGCTTTGTTTCGTTTGCCGTTTGATGTTTCTCATATGCAACAGAAATGGCTGCACTTATGAGTTGAACAACGTGGTGGTTGCGCCAGTGCGACCGCACACAAAATGTAGTCGCACAGGCAGAAAAAATAGTCGCAAAATGCTTCATTGGGGAAGTCTAAGCTGCACAGGTTATTCAGAAGACTGAACAGGATTCCTAAACTGCATTCGAACTCCAAATTGTATTTTTTGGAAAATAAAGGTCATTTAATATTACAATTAAAACATTGAAGAAATATTGAATGCTTATTCTTTAAAAATAAGGTTTTAATAATTTTCGTAGTTGTAGTAGCAGCCTGTTACGTACATTCTACTCAACAATAGTAATATATTTCTGCCAATGCCCTCAAGTTAAACCGAACTTTTATTTTGACGGGTTGCCGTGAATACCTTTACATTTCTGTGCGTATGATATGGGCCGCCCCCCTAATATAATGGCAGGGGAAACACTGGAGTGACCCCATATCTGAGGTCAGTCATTTGCATAAAACACACCCAAACCAACTCCGTATAAGGGCTTTCCGCACAACATTTCTATTAGTCTTTCATTTCTCTCAGCAAACAAGTAACACTCTGTACTAAAGATGTATTCTAGCCGGAGAGATGCCTGAGAGAAATATAATTTTAATCTTATCATGATTATAAGGTGACCCAGAGTGTTTGTTTTTCGTGTATATGTGTTTTCAGTAGCTCATACATTTGTTCCCCCTAAATTTAGAAAGAAATTGTAGTATAAAAGTTTTTGTAGAATCATGATTTGTTTTTGAAAACGTTCATACACCAATGTCACACAAATTTGCATACTCTTGCATATCATATAAGACCTACTTTCTATCAGGGGAAACATATAGACGGTTTAATCGGGCGCCTGGCCCGAAGTTAACTTCCGGTCTGTGTTTGTTTATCAGTCTGGCTATGGCACCGGCTAAAAAAGCAGTTAAAGTTAAGGTGATGAGTAGACTGAAGTTGGGCTCAGGTGGTTGTGCTGTGGGATGTGTTTCCCATACATTTATTTATTTGTGGCGCTCGCCACTATATCAAAAATTACAGATTTTCCAAAAGG